ATCACCGTCTTCTTCTCCCTCTTTCTCATTCTCTCACTAACACAGGGAGCAGTCCTGAAACCCTGCGACCTGTCACACATATAGGACTCTCACACAATGCTTATTCAATCCATATTCTGCGGGTGTAAGAGGGGCAGAAAATCTACCCCACAGTTGGGTACCCAAGGATTTGTGTTCATTGCCTTTGTCAATTTTATGCTATCGGTGAAAGGAATAAAGATGAGATCCTTAAAGCTTGAATTTTCATTTCCTATGACAACGTGCTTTTTCTTCATGCTTTATCACACTCCACTACTTGGTATCCACCCCTTCATAATTGATATCGGCCATTTGAAGCATTCAGTAAAAACCTCATGAGGTTCATCAAATGTCCCCCAGTCTATAATTCTTGCTCCTAACATATTCAGAAGCATATTCATCCAAGTGTTTCCCACTTCCCCTCCATGCTTTTCCCTCTGCACAGGGACGAGTGTAATGACAGTTGTATTAATTATATGCTGAAAACCCACATAGCAGCAAAAATGATGGAGATCATCGTTTTAAATATTTTATTAAAATAACCCAGTGTAGAACAGATAAAGTAGACCCTCTTGATAATGAGAGGTTCATTAATTTTAAAAGAATTCTAGAAAGCTTAGAATGGTCATCAAAATTATCTCTTTCCTTTATATTTTTTTAAGAAGGGGAAAACCTTCAATCGTTGCTTTAGAGAGTGAGGGCCTAATAAAATTTTCTAAGGTATTTTTAAAGTAATTACTTATCTTTCTGGAAAATGTTTTTTTTTAAATAGCTTGAAATATGGAGGATTTAGATTTTATAGGTTTATTTGAAATGCCTATAAATTTTCAGTTGCTGCAGTTTACCCCATTAAAACTTGGTTTCATTAGCATATAATGACTTCTGATAAATAAAACTGATATCTTCCATAAACAAACAAGCAGTGCCTCAAAATCCTTTCATTACTAGCAGCAAAAGCAACACAATCTTGCCTACCAGGTGTGTCTCCAGGTACAGTTTAAGGCCATCCGTCTCTGCTTTAGGGGGTGTCCAATTCTCAGTGGTTTCCATGGCTTCATTTAACCACTGAATGAATTCATCCAGCTTGTCTACAAACCCCTTGTGACAAAAGAGAAAAAAAGAAAGAAAGAAAGGAAAGAACAAGAAAAGCGTTAGTTCGTTATTTTTTAAAGCCAATATTAAATATTCCAAACCTTACTGATGGTAAAATTGATAACACTGTATTCCCATCCTAGTTCCACACTGTAGAACAGATTTTCCAGTATTCCTAGCACTAAAATCTACCAAAATGGAAAGAAGTTGTCCCTTGCTCCCTCTCAGTTTTTTCCTAGGAAAACTTTTCTGAGAAATTTGGATTGGTCTCCAGGATGTCATTGTAAAGATGAGCTAAAATTATCAAAACATTTCTGGTGTCCGACAAGCCCCCCTTACCAAAAAATAAGTCACGTCTGCTAGGAACACTCATGGGCTTTGGGGGTAAAAACATTTCTGTGAAGATGGTATTCTTTACTCAGAAGCCTATAGAGATGAGTTACCTTAACTGAATTAGAAATCTATTTTTAAGTCACATAGGTGTTTTAAGGGGCTTTGGATGAGTTCTAATGACAGCCCAAATGTCTGTGACTGAGTCTGAGTTCTGAGAAACAAGAAGAGTAGAAAAGGAGGGACCAATGAACAAATGTAAACATCTACTCTGGGTGTGTCCCAGACAGCACAAATCACAATAATCTTGCAATTTTTAAAAGAGTGGTTATAAAAATTTATTGACCATTTAAAAGAACACATCTGTAGAAATGGAAATTATTTTGAAAGCCCAGCCATGAACCTAAGGCAAGGAAATGAGGTTGGGTGCCTGCTTCCCATGTCTAAGTAAACAGCACCACCTGGAGGTGTAAAAGAGCAAAGACAGGTTTTGACATTTGTGCTCATGGAAATGGTTTGGGATGCTTACTTCCCTATTAAACTTAACCTGCTTTTCTGTGTTTTTCTGTGGTGTTTTTTTGTGGGGTTTTTTTTTCAGAATTGCCTTTTGATTAATTTTGAATAATACTTTTAATGCTTAACAGGATATTCTGATACTGAAGTAATAGTTGAAGATTCATTTTTTTATCACAGTTCTCAGAAGACACATTTTGTAATTAAGGTTTCTAGATATAGTTTAAGGCTCATAATCCTTTAGTTCAAACAATATATTGGCCTCAAAGTAATTTTTAGAAAAGAGCAAATAGCATTGAGAAGAGTAGTAAAGAGAAAGGTAGACTAATAACACTCAGAAACACATCCCTGTCTGTCAAAAGGGGACACAGCAGAGATGTGGACATGGTGGCCCAGGGAGTCAGATCTGACTGTCCAGCCACTCTCTGGTGTGGTGTGTTGTCAGCCTGTTAAGTCCATCATTCCATGTGATAGTGTACCATGTGTTTTCCCATGATCCTAAATGCTATCCAAAGTTTTCCAAGTGTCACAGGACAATCACACCCATCCTTTTAATAAATCTCTAATTTTCTCATATTGCAGCTTGTTCTAAGTGCTAAGAATCCATGCCAAGTAATTAGTTTTGTCCTTTCTCATATACTTAGTTTGTTAAAAATTAAGTTCTAATTATTGATACTCTCATAATTAAATTCTGATAAAAATTAAGATCGCCTTTGCTGGCCAAATGGACTTATAGCAATATCATCTGCAAGATTTTCCTAAAATCTCTCAAGCAAGCAGCATCTGGTCTCAGTGTGCTTCATACCTCTCGCTGAGTGGACACAGGCCTGGCACTAGCAACAGCCAGCCTTGGTTCACAGCTTAGCCTCTCCTGGCACCTCCAAGTCCAGCACAAGTAGCAGCCATCTACTTTTTGTAGCTCATGCCAGGTGGTTTCGGGGAGAAACAGGTCATGATTTACCTTGTCCTGTACCTCACAGGAGAATCCAGAGCCAGCACACCCAGTGGACAGCTTCAGATTACATCAAATAATCTCCATAAGTGACACACTCAAGGAGTGGACTCAGCAGGCACCAGAGCTACGCTGAAGTAAGACCTGCTCTGTGGGGTGGGACCCTGCACAGCTGATCCTCCACAGTGGTTGGAGGTCTGAGGTTGGTGGTCACAGCTGATCTGCCTGAGGATAAATCCCTATCACTGATGTGCCAACAGCAATCAAGGTTCAACTACAAAAGGAGGGTATACACAGTTCACATGTGGGGTGTGCCTTGAGTGCCCAGCTTGGGTGATCGGGGAGACTATGCTACTAGATGCTACAGAACACCTACTACATTAGGCCACTCTACCAACCCTGTGAGACATAGCACCCTACCCAAAAGAAATGAACATAAGGAGGCTGCCAAAATGAGGAGACAAAGAAACATGTTCCAAATGAAAGAACAGAACAAAACTCCAGACAAAGAATTAAAGAAAATGGAGTTAAGCAATCTACTACATGCAAAGTTCAAGATACTGGTTATAAGGATACTCAATGAACTTAGTGAGAACCTCAACACTATAAAAAAACACTCAGAAGTAAAGGCTACAATAATGGAAATAAAGACTATTTTACAGATGGTGGGGGTAAGTGGGTGGGTGGGAAGAGATCAACCAAAGAACTTGTATGTCTAATGCATAACTCATGGACACAGACAATAGGGTGATGAAGGCCTGGGACAGTGGGTGGGGCGGGCTACAAGAGGTCAATGGGGGAAGAGGAGGGGAATATATGTAATACTTTCAACAATAAATATTTCAAAAATAATAATTTACAGAGAATCAAGAGTAGATGGATGAAACCAAGAATCAAATCAGTGATTTGGAATATAAGGAGGCAAAATATACCCAACCAGAAAGAAAAAAGAATTTTTTAAAAATGAGTATAGTATAGTATAAAGAGCCTCTGGGACAACTTCAAGCATTTGCATCATGTAGGTGTGGAAGGAGAAGATAGAGAGCAAGAAATTGAAAACCTATTTGAAATAATGACAGAAAACTTCCATAACCTGATGAAGAAAATAGACATATAAGTCCAGGAAGTACAGAGAGTCCCAAATAAGGTGAACCCAAAGAGGCTCACACCAAGACACATCATAATAAAAATGACAAAGGTTAAAGACAAAGAGAATCTTAAAAGCACCAAGAGAAAAGCAGTTATGCACCAAATTAAGGTTTGTTGGAGAGATGGGTATGCCTACAAATAAGTTTTCCACATAGAAGTAAGTCCCCACTGATCAGACTGATGGGCTTTGTGATAGAACCTAAATAACCTGTGAATACTCTGTTGTTGGCAACTGCCTGTGTTTTACTGTTGGCTCATTTTGATTTCACTGGCTTCACTTGCAGTCATGGACTTTAAAAAATCTGAATTGCTACTTGCCAAAAGAATATAAACATTTCATATATGTCTAAACAAACATAATCCCGTGACAATTTAATAGGCACTGCAAACCATGGGAAAAAAGCTTTTGAAACTCATGTAGGATTTGAAAAATGAGTCTATAACATGGCTGAAGGAAATTTGGAAAATGTAGAATTTATTAAAATACAACAAATCAATAATCTGTATTTATAGAAGTCCATAAATATGCATTTTCATTATTATTGTCTATTTTTCATCTGATCTGTATTCCCAATTCTTAGCCAAACTTCCTGCTTCATATGGTATCAGATGGGTGCAAAATATATGGGGATGATCATTTAGTAAATTGTATAATGTCTAATCACTGGGATATACATCTGAAACTAATATAATAATGTATGTCAACTGTAATTTAAAAATAAAAATATTTAAAAGTGAAAAAAAGAAATATCATCTATCATCTGCAGAATCTCATCAGAATATCAGAGTCTAGATGGTTGATAATTGTGAGTTGAAATAGTTTTTTATAGTATTAAATAGCATTTACTATTGAATTTAGCCTTGAGTTGTTATATCTGTATATATAAATTGGTTTGGGGGAAAATTAAGTCAGGAAGTAAATTATTTTGGAAACAACTGGTTAAATCCAAAAAAGATAATTGTGAGTTGAAAATAGTTTTTTATAGTATTTATAGTATTAAATAGCCTTTACTATTGAATTTAGCCTTGAGATGTTGTATCTGTATATATAAATTGGTTTTGGGGAAAATTAAGTCAGGCAGTAAATTATTTTGGAAACAACTGGTTAAATCCAAAAAAGACAAATAGTCAAAGATGTTATTTGAAATATAACTATTCATAGCTTCTCTTCCTCAAAAAAAAAATGTGTGCGTACGTGATTACATGGGTACCTCATCAAAAGTTAGTCTTAGCCAAAGAGTATTAAACAATGGGTTTCAGATTTCCTAACAGAACAACAACAAGCAAACAAAATAATGTGTGTGTACGTGATTACATAGGTACCTCATCAAAAGTTAGTCTTAGCCAGAGTATTAAACAATGGGTTTCAGATTTCCTAACAGAATTATGATTAAATAGCTGAAATCTGTGAGATGTAGATTAGGCAAAAGCCATGGGACCCAGGCGAACCTTTCTGCATAGCCTGGCCAGACCACAAATCAAGGCTGTCTGATCGAGAGAAACAGAGGCCCTTTGAAGGCCTCACTCTGCGTTTCCTCTGAATTATATTCCATCCTCACCAGTTCATTTGTTGCACATTTTCTCAACTCTGTTCTTGCCAGTGCTAAAGAGTTTCATCAATCACAATAAAACTGAGAAACCCCTGTTCTTAACTTGCAATGAGAAGCTACACACTCCTCCTCTTAAGGAGATCTTAGCTTTCCACTTCCTCTCCTGCTTATATGTGTGACCACAAGAATATAAGCAGAAATCATGAAAGCAAAGGAAATTGGAGTCCATCTGATTCTGGATACCTTTGCCACTGCTATTTCTCCATCCCTCCCAGACCCTGAATGTGTGTACCATCACTCATGCTCTGTGTAGTGAACAGTGCACTGTCTACTATCTTCATGTCATGAGATGCTCTTCATAGAAAGACCAAGTAAGTGCCACTCCGTACACCAAGCCATGCGATGTGCAGGAGAATTCACACTTGGGCACATACAGAGAATAGATGATGCTCATTTTCAGAAGCTATGCTAGTTTTTGTGGTGTGAATGAAACAAAATGAGGCTGGTGTACG